GTAAAGCGCGCGAGCACAGAAACGTGCTTCCCCTCTGTTCCTTTCGCGTCAGTGATATACTCGCTCTCGCTCACTCCTATAGTGCGTTCTCCGTTCTATTGAGTCTCTGCTTTGTGCGATCGTTCGTACTGTCAAGCAGCCAAGACCAGTGCATATGCACTATAGCGTTCTCCGTCTGACTTATTGATACGTACCATACACACTTAACTCCTTGTGAATATCGTACCTCTTCGTTCAACTAATTGCTGAATTTTCTATCTTTTGCCATTTTTCTCATATAATATCTTAGTACAGAAAGTTACAGAAAATAAATTTCGAATATTTCACGAGAAATAATTACGGAAATATTCTTGTAAAATTTGAAATAATCACCAAAGGTAGAATTTGATTATTTTCGCGTAAAATAAATGTAAAATTAAAATATTTCATGAGATAGCCAATCCCAGAAATTAAATTTAAATATTTCGGTGACGTTAAATTAATTAAAGATTTATATCTCGAAAATATTAGTTACAGAAATCGAATTTATAAAGTGACATTAATTATAAAATTTCGATTTTCGAGTATCTCGAGAGAATTAGTTACAGAAATCGAATTTATAAAGTGAAATTAATTAATTAATTTCGATTTTCGAGTGTCTCGTGAAAATTGGTTACGGAAGTTGAATTTATAAAATAAAATTAATTATACAATTTTGATTTTTGAGCATCTCGTGAAAATTAATTACACAAAGTGAATTTAAAATATTTTGTAAAGTGAAATTAAATATAAAACTTTGAGTTCCAAGTAATTCGTGAAAATTAATCAAGAAAATTAATTTTAAAATATTTTTAGGAACAAAAATTAATTACAAAAATTAATCTAAAATTATTTGAGGAACAAAATCAGTTGCAAAATTTACATTTTTAAAATATTTTTGTATAAAATAGTTATAGATATTGAATTTTCGATATTTTCACGAAAGAAAATAGTTACAGAAATTAAAATTTTGAGAACATCCTTTTGAAGAAATAGTTACATAAATTAAAATTTCGAGAACATCATTGTAAAGAAACAGTTACAGAAATTTGATTTTTAAATAATTTAAAAAAAAATATATATATATATAGTTACAGAAATTTATTAAAAAGTAAAAAGAAAATGGACGACAGACAGTCTACTCTCTAACTCTGAATTAGCGAAATTTCACTAATTTCCCAGCGATAAGTATATCACTGATTCAATTAGCGTATATACGCTGTGAATTAGTGAAATTTCACTGATTAATTAGCGTATATACGCTAATTGAATCAGTGATATACTTATCGCTGGGAAATTAGTGGAATTTCGCTAATTCAGATTTAGAGAGTATAAAATCAGACACCTCCGAACCGTCACAACTACAACCATTGCTGCACGACCTATATTTTGATCACGATGATTATAATGCAAGAAATGATGGTGATCAAATGCGTCAAAATCAAGTGTTACGAGAACCCAACACTCAACCTGGTCCGAATGCGGAATTTAATTTTGGTAATGTTAATACCACTCGCGGTCGTTACTCTCGTTCCAATAATTTTAGGGATTCACGTAACTTTAATAGACATCGAGTCTTTCCAAACCCCCAAGACTACCAATTTGACGATTATGAAAATACAGAAAGAAGAACAAACAATCAACAACCTATGTGTCCACACTCTCTGTTACAGACAATACATCGCTGGAATTTACAATTCAGTGGTGCGCGTGGTGAAGACGTCGAGAATTATATAAATCGAATCGATGAGGGTCGTGAATTATTGGTTATGCGTGAATCAGATTTACTAAAAGCCATTCCTTTTACGTTAAAAGATGCAGCGTTAACATGGTACAGAGGTCGCTTCAATTCTTTTAGAACATGGCAAGACGTTAAGATTGCTCTTCGCTCCAGATATGCAGATCCAGATTATCAGTTAGCTTTGCGTGAAGAAATTGCTAATCGTACGCAGGCAAACAACGAACCAGTTTGTGATTACCTTGCATGTATGAATGGTCTTTTCCTTTTCGCTCGAACAGACCCACTATGGTCAGAATGGGAATGCATCCGCTATGCTCACAGAAATATGTTACCGGCATTCAAATTAGTGATCCCATTGTACAGAAACCTAACTATGGACGATTTAGAAGCGTACGCGTCACGCCAAGAAAGAACACTTCAAAGTGTAAACCAATATCGCCCCCCACCACTACCAGAAAACTCTATGTGTCCAGCGTATGCGTACTCAGGACCTCGTAAGGCACACTACCAACCACCCCGACCATTACAGCACTTTTCGAAAACTGATCAATTACATGCGGCAGTTGATCATAGCGTACCGTTACAGAACAATGCCGAAGGTTACAGTGACATATTAGACTCCCTGTTACTACAACGACATAATCAGCAACAAACAAGTGATTTTTCTAAGCCACCTGCAACAAGATCCGGTGTCAAAGATAAATCTAGTGAATCTAAAACATCCTATTTGGTAAATCAAGCGTCACCCGCGGTGAATACTAATAGGACTGAAACAAGTGACACTGAATTAAGATGTTGGAATTGCGACAAAACTGGTCACGGTCACAGATTATGCCCAGAACCTAAACGCAGATTTTGTTACCGTTGTCGAGCCTCAGGTGTTACTAAACGAGATTGTCCCCATTGTAATAAGGGAAACTCTCAATAGTGAACACTATCCCGACAAGTGTATCGCTTCCAAAATTAACGTCGGAAGATCAGTTACAGTTAGAATTAGATGTTACCGAAATTAAAAAGCTACAGGATACGGGAAGCCTATTTCCAGACCAGTGTTTAAAGTTACAGAATAATGTAGAAATAATCGATTTTGCGAATTCGGTCTCAAACAAAAGACAAGTAGCGAAAACCGCGAAACCAATTCCTGCTCGTAGAGTTACAGTCGCGAACAGTAATAACCTCCGTATCGAATATGCAATCGACACCGAAATAAAATTGAAAAACCGAAATTTTCAAGTTAATCTTTTAATAATGCCAGTCCTATCACATCCGTGTATACTAGGGTTAGATTTTCTTATACAAGCCGGTTTGATAGTCGATTTTGCCGCAAAAAGTTGGTACTATAGAGACGACCCGAACTCTACATTCACATTTATTCCAGAAAATTCTACAGATCGTGTTACAGTATGCAATGAGTTACAGATATTAAGTGACGAACAGTCCGAAATTTTAAAAAAGTTTCTCGATGAAAGGATACCGCCGCAACCGGATAAACTACCAATTACACTAATGGCTGAACATGATATTAACATCGGCGACCATCCACCAATTCGACAAAAGGCTTATGCGATGACACCAATAAAACTAGAAGCATTGTGGAAAGAAACAGATGAATGGTTAAGACAAGACATCATAGAGCCTTCACAAGCAGATTGGGCGAGCCCTCCAGTATTGACAAAAAAGGCAGATGGGAAATGGCGACCTTGCATAGACTACCGTAAAGTAAACTCCTGTACAAAAAAAGATGCATATCCAATTCCAAACATGATCGGGATTTTAGATCAGTTAAAGCAATGTAATTTCATCACAACTTTGGACCTAACATCAGCATACCTCCATGTTCCACTGACAGAAAGAGCTAAGCCGATAACTGCATTTATTGTACCAGGCAGAGGCTTATTTCAATCCAAAAGGATGTCCTTCGGTCTAAGCAACGAACCAGCCACATTCCAGAGGCTCATGGACCGTGTTATTGGTCCAGCATTGTTCCCTCACGTGTTTTGTTATTTGGATGACATCGTAGTCGTAACAGAGACTTTCGAGGAGCATTTGCATTGGCTTGACAAGGTCCTTGCAAACATCAAAAAGGCCAACATGGTAATTAACAGAAACAAGAGTCATTTCTGCTGTGCTGAACTACGATATCTTGGATTCCGAGTCAATTACGAAGGATTACAAACTGACCCTGAGAAAACTTCGGCGGTCCTGGAATACCCACAACCACGAACAGTGAAGCAACTACACCGTTTCCTTGGAATAGCATCTTGGTACAGAAGGTTCATTCCTGAATACGCAACAAAAGCCGCTCCACAGTACAAATTGGTCAAGAAAAATCAACCCTGGGAATGGAAAGAAGATCAGGAGAGCGCCTTCAACACATTAAAATCACTGTTGACAACCACTCCTACATTAGCATGTCCTAACTTCAAACTACCATTCACCTTACAAACCGACGCAAGTTCTGTCGGATTAGGAGCAGTGTTGACCCAAAATATTGAAGGTCAAGAGCGAGTGATTGCTTACGCTTGTCGCGCCCTTTCAAATGCCGAGAAGAACTACACGGTTACAGAACTGGAATGTTTAGCTGTAGTTTGGTCCGTTAAAAAGTTCCGTTGTTACTTAGAAGGCTACTCATTCACAGTAATAACGGATCACAGTAGTTTACGCTGGTTACACAATTTGAAAAACCCAACTGGTCGACTCGCAAGATGGGCTCTAGAACTCATGGAATATAACCTGACGATCATCCACCGGAAAGGAGCACTTCACCACGTTCCAGACGCTTTATCGCGCATACCTGAACAAATGTCGGATCAGGTTAACCAAATTGAAGTGATAGAAGACCGATGGTACTTGAAGCGTCTACAGGAAGTCGAACAACATCCTGACAGGTTTCCAAACTGGAAAATCGAAGATAATCGACTTTACTACCACAAACCAGCTGATTTTCCAGAAACCGAAGTTACAGACCTAAACGCCTGGAAGTTAGTACTCTACAGGGAACGTCGCCTAAAAAGCCCTACAGGAAAACCACTCAACTCCACAATCAGGACACCTTGGTGTAGAAAAGACTCATCGCAGAATCGCCACACAGTACTATTGGCCAAGTATGTTCAAGGATGTAGTTTCTTTTGTCCGACACTGTGAAATTTGTCAACGCACCAAAGTTGAACAAATCCGTCCTGCTGGTTTTATGGGAAAAAAGACTGTTGTGGAGCCTTGGACAATAGTAGCTACAGACATTATGGGACCTTTAACTCCGAGCTCCAGGGGTAACGTGTACATCCTCATCATTCAAGATTTGTATACTAAATGGATAGAGATACAGCCCTTAAGAAAAGCTACAGGTTTAACAATATCGACAGCGCTACAGGATTTAGTCATAAACCGTTGGGGATCACCGAAAGTTCTGCTTACAGATAACGGTACCGAATTCATTAACAATAGCATGAAAGCCCTAGCGTCAAAAATAGGATTTCGTCATATGACCACCCCACCTTATCGACCTCAGGCCGATCCTGTAGAGCGAGTAAATCGCGTAGTACGAACCATGATAATTGCGTTTATAGAGAGAAGTCACCGGGAATGGGACCTACACCTCCCAGAATTTCGTTTTGCACACAACACAGCGTACTATTCCTCGATCCAAAGTACACCAGCTTTCCTTAACTTCGGACGCGAACCTACAACCGCGATATCCCTACGCCGAGAATTAGAAAGAGATATGGACATTGTCTATCAATCTTCTTTACTTTGGTCAAAACGGATGCAACAGTTGAACGAATTGCGTAATAGTATAGTCCACGCTCTAGACAGTGCTTTCCAGAAACAATCACACTACTACAATCGCAAGCGACGCGATCAGCGATATGAAATCGGCGACTTAGTATGGAAAAAACAACGCGTATTATCGTCCGCAGACAGACATTTTATGGCAAAATTAGCAGATGCGTTTCACGGTCCATTTATTGTTACCAAACGCATATCAAATGTAGTTTATGTTCTAGAGGACCTACAAGAGCAATCAATGGGAAAGTTTTCAGTACAAGACCTAAAACCTTACCATGCACCACTCCAAGGTGATCCAGATTAACCTAAAGTAATAAAGTAGTTACAGTACTTAACAAAGATCGTTACAGAATTAAAAATGTCTTACATAATTAATGTTACAGTATTCCTTACGACTCAGTATGTTCAACATCGAGTTTCAGCGTTTGTCTTTGTATTTGTCTATATTTGTATTTCTTGTGTTTCTGTACACCGACTCCGAATGTTGTATTTTGGTATAATATTCATGTCCAGAATAAGTTACAGTATAATCTAGTGTTCCAGTATTTTCAATAAAGTTACAGTTTTTCAATAAATGATACAGTGAAATCGTCTTGCTACCGTCCAGGTGGTGGATATTTTATCCTTATTCGATTATTACAATAAAAGAACGTTACAGAATCGATGGAGTATCCTTCGCCTGACACCACGTGTCCAGTAGACGAAATGGAGATCCTTCAGATCTCCGACTCGGAGGGTGACCAATCAATGGTAGGTAGTCTCGATGACTACCTGCTAGAAGACGAAGAGGGCGAAGAGCATCGACCATCCTCACCAAACTCATCCAGTTCCAGCATCGAGATAATCGAGGATGCGGACATGGGAAGAGAAATGGAGAATGGGGACTGGGAAATGGAGGAAGAACCCCCAATCGCTGACGAACCACCTGCAGACCAACCCGAGGAGATTCCACAAGTCCCAACTCCACCCCCATGGAACCCACCGGAGCCCGATGAGCAAGGCCCAGGTGAAATCCCAGGTCCACCACAGGACGTGGAGGTGAAGCTAGAGGAGGATCCATTCTGGGATCCAATCAGACCGTTCCTGACCGCCCTAGCATGGTTGGAACAATACAGGCCAGGACTGTTTGAATCGCTACAGGAGATGGTACTGCGGTGCAATCATCGGGATAACGAGGAGTGTCCAATCCGATGGAGGACAAACCTAGCAGGAAGGACAGCTCTCCCGAGCGAAGTCCAGGATTGGCCGAAGAAGGCTCTTCAAGTCACCAATCAGAGAGGTACATTCGACCCAGGAGGTGCAAATGCTGGAGAAAGCCGTATGCGAAGCCAAGGGAAACGGGCTACAGTCGACCTCCCGAACCTACGTGTTTCCTGAACGCCAGAGGGGAACCAGTTCCAGGCCCATCCCGAGAACCAGCTCCAAGCCGAGCACGAAGCCCGGAACCAGTTCCAGGCCCATCCCGAGAACCAGCTCCAAGCCGAGCACGAAGCCTAGAACCAGTTCCAGGCCCATTCCAAGAACCAGCTCCAAACCGATAACGAGGCCCAGAACCAGCTATAGGCCAAGCACCAGGTCCACCACCAGTCCAAGCACCGGTTCCAGCTCTCGACGCCTCTGTTGGAATTGCCAGAGACCAGGGCACAACTTCAGCGCGTGCCCCGAACCAAGGACCGTCTTCTGCCAGATGTGTGGCCGACGAGGGTACACCGCCAGAACCTGCCCGAAATGCGGCAAACGATGGGCGTCAATGGGACCGTATGTTCCGAAATACGGGACTACGTGGGAAATACGTGATCCCAAGGGACCACCAACACTCCAAAAATTGTAACTTGAGTTAAATCCACATTGTCACATTGTAATGACTCGTGTTAAAACCTTATGATTTCTACGATAACTTTCTCTTTTGTGATTAACACAATTAGTATTATTATTAAATCTTTTGAAAATTTGGTGACAAGGCGTCGGAACGACGCGTTACAGTACAAGTGCGTTAATTTGATAGTAAATCTTTGCAACATTTCTGGAAGCAATTTGTTTTCGTTTTACTTGCGTTACAGTACAAGTGCGTTAATTTGAAAGTAAATCTTTGCAACATTTCTGGACGCAATTTGCTTTCGTAATATTTTTCATAATTTTCACTACCCTCATTTTAAACAAACTTAAGAATTTTCCTTCTCAATCTGAAGCAACGCCTCCATATTAATAATTTTCTGTTCCGCAGACTTGGATTCTGTTGCCTTTGGACGTACCTACTTTGAGTCCCAATTTCATAATAAAATAAGATAATTTTCACCACTTTACTTAATTCACTTAATTCACTATAACTTTCAATATATTATTGTCCCTTACTTCACTAATAATCCGGCCCAGTGTCCCTATGACCATTGTTGATACAACATCCATCGCTATCATACTATTTGTACCATTAGATTTCAGTCTGAGATAAAAAGTACTTGGTGTTGAATTTAAAAGTTGTGTGGTTTTATCTGAACCGATACTTCCAATCCCCAATTTTCATTACTATTTGAACCTAAGTAGTCAATTGAGAGTAGCCCCTTTTTTTCGAACTTCCAGAGCGTTAGCTCGGTATCGGGAGTGCACCTTGTGAAATTTAGTTTTATCGTAATAAAGTCTCGTTTATATTTCTTGTTATATAGTTCAGAAGTAGTTGAGAATAGTTGGTGTCCCGATTTTAAAGGATATTTATTCACGTATATTTTTCCCTTCCACAATCTTTCCGTTGGGAGGCGAGTTGTGACGTTATTTTTACGATTTACGTCACAAAAGCACTAATCTGAGAACATTTTTTTAAGTATTTGAATTTTGGTAATATTAATTGTCTTTGTTAAAGTAAATTTGTTACAGTGTCTGTTTTAGTATTTGTTTAAGTAATTATTCTACACTTAGCAGAAGTCCAATTGAATCATTGGCGCTCCACATTAAGAAATTTTGATAAATTAGTTTAGTTTTAGTGAGTTGGCAGACTTTGTCAAACGGAAGCGACTTCGTCTGCAAAGAAGCTCTCCTTTTGGGTTAATTGACAGGTTCCTATGGTCAAGAAGGTCGCAATCTTGCCATAGGAAAAGTCGTTTTAGTTTAAGTATCATAGTATTAGTAATTCAGAATTCTGGGAGAAGCAAGGTAGGAGAAAACCCCCTTTTTGTATGAAAATATCGAGAATACCGATAAGTCACCTAACGCCAAAATTCAGTACTAATTTCAAATTAAAATAATTCTGCAAAACCTTTTGAATCTTTCTCTTGTCATCGATCCCTTGTTGTGTTAACATCGTTAGTTAATTTCTCCGGTTTTAGTTAAAATGTAATAGATTTAGAATCAGTTCTAGTTTAGTTACAGTTTAATTCTTTTATGGTTTCGAATTGTTAAATAATATGTTAGAGTTTAATATTCCAATTAATTATTAGTTTAATGTTTTCTTTAATAAATAATAAATCAAAAGTGTAAAATGAAATCATGATCCCTATCACGAGTCAACTTATCATCGATACAAAATCTGTAAGTTATTTATATTATTTATGGTTCTTTGTTATAATCCAGCGATACAAAATCTGTAAGTTATTTATATTATTTATGGTTCTTTGTTATAATCCAGAATACTCAAGTAATTCTGCTTATGGTTTTTTATTAGTATCGTTCCGACGCCTTGTCACCAAATTTTCAAAAGATTTAATAATAATACTAATTGTGTTAATCACAAAAGAGAAAGTTATCGTAGAAATCATGGGGTTTTAACACGAGTCATTACAATGTGACAATTAATGAACAATTCGAGTGATTTATGAGTGAAAAAATTCAAGTGAATTGTAAGTGAAAAATGAATGAAAAATTCAAGTGAATTTTAAGTGGACAATTAATAAACAATTCGAGTGAATTATGAGTGAAAAAATTCAAGTGAATTGTAAGTGAAATTAAGTGAATAATAAGTGAATTATCATGAGTGAATATAAATTAGTTAAAGTGGGTGAACAATGAGTGAGAATGAGTGAAAAATTAGTGAAAAATTATTCTTATATAATAAATCTGACACTGGCCTCAACGGTGTCGTCTGTATGGGTGTTGGTGGTCCCTTGGGATCACGTATTTCCCACGTAGTCCCGTATTTCGGAACATACGGTCCCATTGACGCCCATCGTTTGCCGCATTTCGGGCAGGTTCTGGCGGTGTACCCTCGTCGGCCACACATCTGGCAGAAGACGGTCCTTGGTTCGGGGCACGCGCTGAAGTTGTGCCCTGGTCTCTGGCAATTCCAACAGAGGCGTCGAGAGCTGGAACCGGTGCTTGGACTGGTGGTGGACCTGGTGCTTGGCCTATAGCTGGTTCTGGGCCTCGTTCTCGGTTTGGAGCTGGTTCTTGGAATGGGCCTGGAACTGGTTCTGGGCTTCGTGCTCGGCTTGGAGCTGGTTCTCGGGATGGGCCTGGAACTGGTTCCGGGCTTCGTGCTCGGCTTGGAGCTGGTTCTCGGGATGGGCCTGGAACTGGTTCCCCTCTGGCGTTCAGGAAACACGTAGGTTCGGGAGGTCGACTGTAGCCTGTTTCCCTTGGCTTCGCATACGGCTTTCTCCAGCATTTGTGCCTCCTGGGTCGAATGTACCTCTCTGATTGGTGACTTGAAGAGTCTTCTTCGGTCCACCAATCAGGTTTTTCGGCGGATTGACGAGGTTTCTTAAAAGGGTCAAATGGACCCGTGTCTGAGTCCGAGGAAACCTCGTCCAGATCCATCCTTTCATGGGAAGGTCCGGGAGTAGGTTTCACCGGCATGGGTGGTATGGGCTCTGTCGTCTGGGTTCCATTCTCCTTCATTATGGGCCCCGTTTGGCTCGCCTGGTCAATTTTTTCTGGAGCTGACAGTGGCCAATCCTGGACTTCGCTCGGGAGAGCTGTCCTTCCTGCTAGGTTTGTCCTCCATCGGATTGGACACTCCTCGTTATCCCGATGACTGCACCGCAGTACCATCTCCTGTAGCGATTCAAACAGTCCTGGCCTGTATTGTTCCAACCATGCTAGGGCGGTCAGGAACGGTCTGATTGGATCCCAGAATGGATCCTCCTCTAGCTTCACCTCCACGTCCTGTGGTGGACCTGGGATTTCACCTGGGCCTTGCTCATCGGGCTCCGGTGGGTTCCATGGGGGTGGAGTTGGGACTTGTGGAATCTCCTCGGGTTGGTCTGCAGGTGGTTCGTCAGCGATTGGGGGTTCTTCCTCCATTTCCCAGTCCCCATTCTCCATTTCTCTTCCCATGTCCGCATCCTCGATTATCTCGATGCTGGAACTGGATGAGTT